TGAAGCTATGCTTATCGGATTGGAATACATTTTATGGCATTTCGAAGCTAAGACAGAGAGCTACATTTCTTATGAAGACATCGACACCCAGTTTATGCATTTTCAAGGTCAAAATGTTAATTTCAGAGAAAACAGAAAGCTCCCTATGAAATAGGGCTTTTGGCAGTCAGGGGTATTTTAGTCATTTTATATGATACAGTGCTCCGATTGAAGTGAAGTTTTACAGGTAGATAGTTAACTCCATTCCCTACAACTTTCATGTTTTGAGCAAGATCTGATTCAGCCTCTATCATGGACAAATATGCAGGTCAGAAACAGGGCAGATTCATCATCAAAGCTGGAAATTCACTTCTACTCTAAAAATATTTATATCCTAGCTCAACACTATCAAGTCCTATATCATCAAAACCATCAATTACTAGCTCAATACCATCAATTACTAGGTAGACAACCATAATCAAGGCTGAAAATGTAAACCGTAGCTTCTATCCAAATTTAAACAAGATTAGGGAAGAGAAAAGGAAAGGAAATCATGATACCTTCCAATAATTGCTTGTAAATGAAAACCACACCCCTTTCTTCCAAAACTTTTACCATACAAAGCTTTCCAACCACCAAAAGAGAAGTTTAATCGGTTTAGTTCGGTTGATTTCACTCAAACAAGGCAAAATCTAAGGTTGGAGTTGAAGTTTGCTTTCTCTCTTTCCCTCTCCAAAATTTCGGCCATGCTAGTAAGAAATGAGGCAAAATTGTCCAAGAAGAAAGATAAGAAGAAAGAAACTTGTCTTAGTCAAACAACCATTGGATTGCCGACACTTGTCGCTCAAGATCTTTCTTTGTTTTTGTTTTCTTTTCTTCCTTTTCCTTAGTCAATAATGGTGGCTGACTTATGGGTTAATTAAGGGCTAATTAGCTCAATTAAAAACAAGAAGATTAAGGTAATAAAGTAATGTTCAAGTAGTGTACTCACTCGGTAGCAAACGGTGCACGCCGGTTCAAGTCTATTTTCCTTAACTCGCATGTACTTGTATTTTTACTTATTGTTCACTAACTTATTATTATCACTTCTAATTACACATTTTTTCTTATCTAAAACTCACTTTTAACCATCAAATTTAGTACACGCACCTCACCAAGTGATCACACGGCCAAAATGCACTTAAAACACACCAAAACCCTAGTATGCACAAAAACCCCTAACTTATGCCATTCCTTTAGAAAAATCATAACTTGAATTATAGATATCAAAAATTCATACAACTTGGCATGTTAAAAACTAGATTTCAAATACTAATAATCTTTAGATAACACCTCAAAGAAATTCAGCTCATAAGTTGGTCCAAATTGAGCCATAACCTACTACAACATTCCTATGTTTACTTGTGCAGGGCAGAATTTTTAGTCAACTTTGCCAATTTTCTGGAATTTATAGAGATTGGATCAAACTCTGAAGTTTACACCGTAGGAAGATCTATGAGTCTAGTTTCAAACGCAATAAACGGAACTCAATTCCGACTTTCCTATACGAAGTTATAGCCAATTTCCCAAAACTGTGCAAAGCCTCCTGCGAAAATTTCTAGATTTTCTAACAACTTGAGATTATGAAACTTTTCTTAACAAAATTCACTCCCTTGACTCAAATTCAACCATTAAAGCAACCAAGAATCAAAGGTAAGTGAGTTCACATAAGGGTTATAAAGACAAGTAAAATTTCGGAGTCTCACACTATTTATCATAAGAATGGATTACTAATTTTCCAGTACACAATTATTATATCAAAAGGGCAAAAAAACCTTCATTTTAGTATGTTTTAATTAGGAGTACTTTTACTAGTAACAATAGAAATAGTGAAGTTGTGCAAATTTCTAAACAAGAAACAACGTATACATGATTACAGGAATTGTTTAGATCAATCAAATTAATATAATAAATGTAAGCCATAAACTAGTTTTAATAAATGTATGTGGTAAACTAGTTTTAATAAATGTATGCAGTAAACTAGCTTGTGGCATACATTTATTAGAACTAGTTTATGGCATACATTTATTATATTAGTCTGATCGATCTAAAAAATTCCCATAATCATGTCTACGTGCTTGTTGTTTTGAAATTTGCACCAAATTTACTATTACTATTATTATTGGTAAAAGCATTCCTAATTAAAGCATAATAAAATCAAGTTTTTTTTTAAAGTTTTTAATGTAGTAGTTATGTTTAATAAAACAATTAGTAAAGCATCCCTACAATGCATTGTTTCTCCTAAAAGTACTAATGTTTTTGTAAATAAATTGGAATAATTTTGTAAAAGATTTTATGCATTTTCACTAATATAATCAAGAGATTTTGCACCTTTAAAATATAAATAGAAAAAAAGGAAATGGTATGAGTGTAAAGGTGACCAAATGCAATATATCACATCATGAGTTTAGATATGATTTGTTAAGTAATCAGTAATTTAGTTCTAGTCAATATATGATGCATATTTATTTCTTATAAATAAAAATATAATTTAGCAATTATGCATTAACAGAAGTTGTAGTTTGAACGCAATCAATTGAGCACCTATTTCCTTTTTTAAAGTAGATATTATTTATTATATTACTCAGGTATATATTTACGTGTAAAATAAAAACAATAGCATGCCAATCCTTAGACCAACATAACTTCAATTATTGTTAACTAAATAATTTTACATTGATCAAAATTAGTCTAGAAAATGAAATGTTAATGGCAACAACTGGTAAAAAGTAGCAATTTTTTAATTTTGGGAAAATAAAAAATAGTTCCCAAAATATTTCATTTTTATTTTTTTAAAAAATCTCAACTTGTTAATTAAATTCAAAATGATTTTATTATAAATAAATATTCTCCCTCAAATTAACATCAATGATTAGACGTGAGATACAAATATAAAAAAAAAGAGATAAAAATATGGTAAAATATTACATATGTCATGGATATTGGAGACTTTTGGCAAAAAAATTTTGTGTTAAAATAATATGGTATTATAGTGTGCTAATTATTTTAGGACCATTTTGTACATGAACTAAATTTAATTTAAATTATACAATAGATTATATAGGCATGTGATTTTCGTTTAGTGGTTGGATCTTTTATTGGTGAACAATCTCCAGAGAAAAAAAATTCTAGATTATACTAATTTTGTTATTTTTATTGTTGTATTAATTGTTATACTATTTCTCTCATTTTGTTTGGTCTATATTAATACAAATTTAATTCTTGTGTCCCAAACAATAAATATATTAACACTTTGTCATCTTATTATCTTAATAGGTATTAAATTGTAGAAATTACATAGATAATTGATATTCCATATATAACTAGGAAGATGAGTTGTTACTATTATCCGAGCTTTAAACTTTTCAAAAATTTTAAAAATTATTCAAAATTATAATATGACAAAATTTTATTACATACTTTATAAGGTTATGTGAAAAATTTTCATAGTATTTTAAAATATATAAATACAAAAAATTTAAAATTATAAATATAATCATGTATTATACAAGTATATTACGAGTACTTACTAACTAAGGTGCTAAGTTTTAATCATTAGTAAAACATCTTATCGTTATTTCAAATAAACCTCCTAGTATTGGTTTGGTATAAGTTTTTTAAGTAAAATAGTACATTTGTACCATAAATTAGTAAGTTTTGGTCATTAATCAAGTTTACTATATTACAAGTAACAATTAGTATTTGTCCATAAAAACTTACTCTTACTTGAACTAAACTTACTTTCTAAAAAGTATATTTGGGATATAAAGTAGTAATTTATTTCTTTAAAAAGTAAGTTTCATATTTATTTCAATTTACTTGTTGAGACACAAAAGTTACTAATTTATTACGGTTAACTTATTATTTTAGACAAGAAACTTATTTCCTTATTTTTAGGCATTATCCTATTTTGGTGGATAGGTCTAACAGATAATTAAATGGCCCCTAAAAGTATGACAACCTGTTATATCAGGTAAAAACTGTTTAATTACCATAATGATAGTTGCTACAGCATTTTCCAAGAAAGAAAAGGAAAACACACGACTCTATTATAGTCGTTGAAATCTTTTCCCTCTAAAATTGATTTGTTTCACTCTTATACCAATCCCAATGGTTTTTTTAAAAATTGAAATTGATTCGACAAAATGTTTAACTGCAAGAAGAAACCATCGATTATTGAGTGTGTGGCGTTCATATATTAATTTTGATGTAAATTTGGTGCACTAATCAATGCCTAATGAGCACCTCTTAGAAAATTTTTTATTTTCTATTTTTTATATTGTACCACCACCCCCTCCTTATCTCTGATCTCTATTAGCTAAGTTTGAACCCTATTTGGCAGCCAGGACACTAGATCCTTGTTAGAAAATCTCTTTTATTTTTACTATCAAATTATCAATTTAACGAGGTAAACAGAGGTTTTTTTTTTTTTTTTTTTCAAGGTAACAGAGGTTGAAGCCTTGAAGGCACGAAGCTATATGTGTATTCAAGAAAGCTACAGGAAAGTCACGGGAATTAATGTACATAAGAATAGGAATATCTTGTACACGAGGTCCCGGAACAAGCATTAGATGTCAACCTGTAATATTCAATGACCATACTATTAGTAGTTTCTTTACTTTTAATAGAAAGCACTGGCACTAAGTAGCTTTAAAGTAAAACTAGTTTTTGCCTTTTTGGCCCCCGCGCCCAGCGCGGGTAGCCCATGACGAAGCCAGGGAGTTAGACGTTTAGGGTTTATATTTTTTATGCGCAAATGGCCATCTGCAGAATTGCAAATTGCATAGTTGTAGATATATATGGACTTTTTATTCAATTAAATGTGATGACAGTCGGTTCAAAGGTAGATCCTTTCTACAAAAGCGTTTCTAAATATAGTGATTGTCTATTGACATTTTGTTTTAGCTAGAAATACGATGGTGTAAGCTGATCTTAGATTTGTCCTTTAACAAATATGTCCTAGCTTGTGAGAGACATGAATCAGACTGCAAAATGCCATGAACTACAATTTTCAAATAATTGCTGTAATATGAAAGGGTATTACTACAATTAAAAATCAAACAATATTAGAAAAGCTACAAGTGAACACAAATACTGAAGTGTTATCAGAGTCGAATCTCAAAGCCTATATCATAATCACTTATCACTTGCTGCAGGCATCCTCTTCTTCCACCTTATTTATCCACAAAAAAAAAAAAAATCAAATCAGATAAGCTGGGTAAAGGAATTAAAAAAAAAAAAAATCCCTTGACAGGCGATAAAAGTAAGAATTCTTGTAAATGTTTTTATAAAAAATAACTTGGATGAATATTTGGTGCAATAATAGTGCGACATTTAAGGATAACATTCCCTAAAGCAATAATTAAAAATGAAGGAGATTTGGTGTTTCCATAATGAAAAAAAAAAAGAGAAAAATTTAATTTTCTTAACATGTTTATAAAGCTTTGCAATTGTAACATTAGAAGAATTCAATGTAGATAGCCAAAATAAGAAAGAAGGCGTTAGATTTATTAGAAAACAAAGGAAAGTCGATCCAAAAGAAAAGGACACATTTTTGGAATTATAGTAAATCTTGCACTTGCTTATACAATATGCAAGCGTTTAATTGCTGAGCATATGAACCACAGAAAAAGAATTCTAAACATAGGATAAGAACTCAAGTCAATTTGTTTTCAGAGTTTCATTTGCAGTTTGTCTTAGAAGTGTTTGGATATGTTAATACTAATAAAACTATGTTTTCAACCATGTTAATACTGTTTGTGCAAAGTACTTAAATAATTAAGAAAAATGTTAGCACAACCCCTCCTTTATGTCATTATACTTCATGAAATGCAGAAAGGTTTAAGCTGGATTTGACAAAGTTGTGTTTTGAAAATGTAGATAACTTAGCAATACATATTTTAAGAGAGTCTGAGATTTACAACAAAGGTTGAATAAGTTGAGATTTATAAGTCGTTTTAAGCTTTACAACTTAACAATGATATTCATCACATATATAATTTTCCTAAATTTGACCCATTTTTGACATTTTCTAAAAACTTTATTTTCTTGCTAGTTGAATTTCTCTATACTTCATGTGTAATTCAATTAAAGATGCCATACAAATGAAAAAAAAAATAACCAGTTTCACAAAAAACGAACTTTGCAGAGAGTAATGAGACCAAGACTTATTTTGAATCCCTTAAAAAAGAAGTAATAAAGCAACAAATTCAGGATACCTTAATAAAGCGTTGAAATTGAAAAGGCTCGAGATATCTAGATGCTCCAGCTATCATTATAACCTGAATATTGTATAGAATTTAAGCATTGGAGTGAGCAAAACAGAAATGTCAAGTAAACCACAGCAAAAAAAAAAAAAAAAAAAAAAAGGTATAGAATTATAATATCACAACACAAGAAACTTCAGAAGAAGCATCCTTCAGCATACTAAGAATCAATAAAACTCTAATCTGCCTACAAAACCTCAAAATCCATCAAAATAGAAACCTAGACAAATGAATACATCGCAACAGTTGACATTTAACAATTGAAGAATGAATCAAAGAAAAAGAAACAGAGGCAATAGTTCATGGAACCTCTATTCTTTCTTTTGTTTTTTTTTTTTTTTCCCCAGGTAAATGCGAAACTTCTCAAGTGATATTCATAGCAGTGGTTGTTTATGGAGGGGTTTCAAATGGTGGACCGCTCCTTTAGGGAAAGGGAAAGAATTGGGGATAGATCATTAGAGTGGTGCACGGGTAAAAGCCTATGTTTTCAGAACCGGACCGGATAGCGACTCGGCCAAGGTCAGGGGTCAGGGGTCAATGGGTTCGACCGTGGGTCGATAGGGGTCGAACCGGATGACGTCATAAATAAAAATTATTTAAAAATTAAAATATTATATATATCATATCTAATAATATATTGATATTAATAAAGGTATATTCATATATATTTGATGTTTCAAATATATTTAACAAGAAAATACAAAGAAATTAGAACAATCAAGTAGCAATTTATATTATTTAATAAATATTAACAAGTTTAGAATTAAAATTATGAATTTAATTGAAAAATAACATCAAATTGTAGGACAATATTTATAAAGTATCAAATATTTGAGGTATACGAATAAGTTTTAACAATTTAGGGGGCCAAAACATAATATTATAAAGTTTGAATTTTTTTTTTAAAAAATTACTGTTGAACCGGAAAAACCGGTTTTTTCCCGGTCAAACCCGGATTTTGACCGGCTTTGACCGAGTTTTAAAATTTCCGGTTTTCTAAGTTGACTCGGACCGGCTACCTGGCCGGTTTCCGGTTCGACCGGTTCGACCGGCCGGTCCGGTCCGAGTTTGAAAACAGAGGTAAAAGCATATGACATGTTGCACAAACAATCATTTAAATGCCTACAGATTAAACATTCGTCAAACGAAAAATTAGGCTGTCATCATCCCCAATACATCGTAATAATGTCTGTATACCATTAGCACATAATTTTCATTCAATAACATAGGCAAAAAAGCAGGCAAACAATCAAGGCTCACAAAACTTTTGTACAATGTACAACACACATACATGCAGCCAACAATAAGTACTAATGAAAAAACCTACCTAATCCACAGGAAAACACAAACCAACCATAAAGGATTGCCTCAGTCTTTTGAAAATAACATTAACAATCTGGGCGCAGAAAACACACCATCAATCGACACAATGTTTGTGAAAAACCCAAATAACCAAGGGCTATCAACAAAATTACCATTGAAATTGAGGTCATGATTTCATAATTGACTCGAGAACACAATATACAAACCTATAACGTTCACTGTAAAATATAATAGTCATCTAAGGTCATGGAACATTTGCCTTTCTCAACCTCCAAAAGCTCAGACTTTTCATCTAACCACCTAGGCCCATAAGACAAAGTCAATTTTTGGAAACATGTTAAAAAAAGCCATCGTAAGTAACTTATTCATTAAGAGTAGGTGTGTCAAGAATAGAAGAGTTGGGGAAAATCAAAATATAAAAACACAAAAAAGTGGATAATTAAACAGTGGAGACAGATAAAAAATGGGTTACCTCAAAAATTAACCACTCTATATGAACCCTATGCAATCTTTCAACATTGAATAACCAGTTGGTCCTGAAAAGCAAAATCAAAGAGTAAGTTTAATGCAAAGACAACTTAGTGGTACATGAGAACCTAATTTCATAATATTTATTCTAAAACATTCCATACATGGGAAAGATTAAAACAAATAAGCAAACATAGGCCACCTGGCACTAAATTAGAAAGCTATCTGCCAAAAGACGGCAAAGGTAAGAGCTTTAATGCAAGGCAATGTAGATGAAATACATGCAAATCGTCCACCAAACTATTTAAACCTAAAATATGAACAATATGTAATAGAATCTATGACCCGCAAAACATGGAAACCAAAAAAAAAATTTCAGGAGCAAGACCAATTATAGTAAAACTGATGCTAAAGTGGAAGAGAACTGCAGAGAAGACAACATACACGAAAACAGAGAAAAATCACCACCATACCATAATCCTGAATAGGAAATCGATGGTCTGTCAAAACAAAGAATTTTGAAATCAAAGCCAAAACCAACAATTGAGAAAAAATTAAGAGGTTTACGCAAGTAAATCAATGGTCTGTCACTTCCCAGATTGAAATCTGGAAATGATTTGAAAAATTGCTGTAAGGCAATAGAGCTTCCAACAGTTGCTTCAACGGTGACTGGTCGTGCTCTTTGGACCACAAACTGGAATCTTGAACTTGAATCATATGCCATTCAGCTATTTTTTCACCCCAGAGATAGCTTTGAAAAATAATTTTGCAAAACGTTGATGAATTCGTAAGATTATCAAGAAATAATTTGCAAATTTCAATAATAGAAAGCCTACAAGTGAACATAAATACTAAAGTCACAACCTATTACCCTCAATCTTAGCAAGTATAGAACTCCTCAATTGTTGCATCCCTAAAAGATAATGAGCAAAAAAAATACAATTTATTGTATCATGAAATTTAACCGAGTAAAATAATAAGAGTTCAAAGAGGAAATTTTATACAAATAACCATACAACGAAATTACTAATTTGTAAGATGGTTTAAAAATCATAGGGAACGAAAAGAAGGCTTACCTCTCTATCGAGAACATGGATCTCATGAAACTTGTCATGGCCAGACAAAACCTGAAACAGGAGTAAACTATAATCTACATAGAAATACTAACGATAAAAAAGAAAGCAAGAGACCATCATGTACAAAAAAAATTTCCAAGATTGCACTCGAAGGGAACATATATCTAAATTTTCAACTACACATCATAAAAATAAATCCAGAAAGCCAATATATACAGAAAGATATTTATTTAAAAAAAAAGATGGCGAGGAAAGAATTCAAGGTAAAATTTAGGAACTGATTATTAAAGGGAAAAAACTTTGATGCTCCACCTTTCTGATGAAAGCAAACAACATAGATTGATACTTCTAACGGGAAAAAGCGCGAAAAAAAAAATATAGAGGCGAAAGCTAAGAAACAGAAAATCTGGCTCCAACCTTAAGGATCTTGAGACCGGAGGAGACTCTTGATACTCTGATTTCTTCTGCACCACTGATGGTATGAATTACAATGCTCTCACACTTTCAAAGTGAAATCATAGCATCGCATCCTCTCTTTAAAAAAAAAAAATCTTAAATGCTTAGACCGCTGGCTTTCCGTTCTCATGCTTTTGTTTGCCATTTTCTATATCGAGTTGGTTGGATGTATTATTACGATAAAGAAAATCAAAGGAACAATATAAGAGCCACAAACATAGCCAAAATAACAGGAAAGAAAAAAGTAAAAAAATATATAGAGAACAAAGTCGAGAGAGAAAAAATGCAAGTCCAACCTTAACCCTCTTGAGGCCGGAGGAGACCCGTAATACTCTAATTTCTTCTACACCGGGGAAAAAAATTTACACAATCTCACTTTCATCAGGATGCTGAATGTTGGAAGACATTTCCAAATTTTTGGACCTGCAATATCACAAATATATACATATTATTTATATGTTAAAATTCGACAGGTAAACCCTCCAAAAAATCCAAAAGGCTAGAGAAGTCTTGATGATGAGAAAGAAAAAGAGTCTTACAAAGAAAAAAAGGTCCAAACCATTGTGTTCTTGTTGTTGCTCTCGGTCAGAATCCAAAAAAAAAAAAAAAAGCTGAAGAGGATGATTGATGGGAAGATGAGCTGAAGAGTGAGACAAAGATGAAGAAAGAAGAGGAAAAATGGACATTTCTGACTCCTCGGCTCCACCCCATCAGGTAATCCCGATAAGGTTAAAGAAAAGAACAATAAAAGGGCACAAACATGGTCAAAATTACAAGAAAGGGCTAACCAAACATTAATAAACGGACACACAAGTCTCCAAATTTACGGGCAAAACATGACCACCAAGGGCATTATAGAGAAAGAAAATGCAAAGTCAATATCAGAAAATTCAGGAGCCACAAATTTTACCTTTATGTCACATTAAAAAGACCAAAATACCCCATGAAATCATCCGAATTACCGTCAAAACCGGCCCATGACTACACTGTAGCAACTCCCCTTCCCCCTTTTATATATTTTAGATATTGCTTGGATGGTAGACTTGGAAGTCAGGATTAATGATAAAGAAGGTACCAAATAGTTATTCACATTGGGTTTCCCTGAATCATCTTCTTTTGCTGTTCTGAAGAAAGATCTGAGAACGAATTAAGGGGTAGAAAATGGTAAATAGTAGTTTTCTTGCTGTTCTTGTTTCCACCACAGAACAGTTGGCACGCCTGGGAGACGAACCAAGCTTGACTGATCCAATGAAGGATCAAATCCAAAAGCTTCAAATGGAGCTAAATTTCCTCAAGATGTTTTCCTGGTGCTGGCTTAAGTTTGAAGAAGCTGGTAAGAATGTTAAGTTGAATTTTGCTATTAATACCATTAGTTCTGCAGTAGAAGTAGCAAATAAGCACCTTTACTCAGCCGGTCTATGGGCAATTCGGACAAAAAGGGGTAGAAATTGGCGTCTCCTAACTTCTAATTTGCTGAAAAATGTTGAGCAGTTTAAGTCAGAAATTAGAAAGAATTGCAATTTTTTGCTTAATTTTTTGTTAAATTCCATCAAATCTTCCACGACGGTAGAGATCTATGATTTCATGGACATTATCATCATGAATCTTAAGGATCTTAGTGACACAGAAGATGAACAGATCGCTTCAGTGTATAAGCAAACTAGAGCGCTTGAAGAGAAACTAAGGTTCATTAGAAAGTTCATTGATTTCACCGTGAAACGTTGCTATGAGCATCAGAAATTGGAAGATTCATTGGTTCATCTTCATTCTTGCGCTAATAAAGTAGCATGGCTATCATTTTTGTGCTGGGTAAATAAAAATGATGAAAACATGCAGTGCAGAATAAATATCATGCTTTCTGATCTACACAAGGAGATTTGGCCTTGTGCTCCAGGAATTACAGGGATGTATCTTGAAGTCCTCAAAGCTTTAAAGGTGTCAGCATCTGACACTTTATTGGTGGCTGAAATTGTTGCAGACTTTGTCAACTTTCTGCTAGAAAATCTTCCTGCTGTTTTCATAGACCGCATTGAGATCATTCGAGAAGGGCTCATAATCATCATTGCATTTCTCGTGGATTCACCAGAGGACTGTGAAGATGATGGGGATAAACTTTTGACGCAAGCTGACGCCATTGTAACTGAGGCTGCATCTCTCTTTTACTCAATCTTTTTGGAGGAAATGAATGAAAATGTCGTCGAAGAAAAAAAATTTCTTTTGTCTGAGGTCATAGGAAAGATTGAGAGATTCCTGGAAGTGGTCAAAAAGTTCTATGTCTACATTCCAGAGGCGTCAGAGTTTTATTCTCTCAGGACTCATGGAATAGGATATATTGATTTCATCTTGGAAAATCTGAAGAAAATGCTGAAACAAAATTGCAAATTTGTACCTTTTGTGAAGCATAAAGTTGTGATGGTTCAGGAGGAGCTGCAGTCATTGAGGACATTCCTCACGGATAAAATGGATGGTCAAAATGAGCACGAGGAGCTGAAAGATCTTTGGAGAAGAACCATCAATGTGGCATACCATGCAGAGCATGTCACTGACTTGTCTTTAATCAGTTGTAGTTGTTTCTGGTATTCCATAATATGTCTTTCAACAGTCATTCAAGAAATTAAGATCACCAAGACTGAGATTGAGAATATTGGAAATAAGCATATGAAAAAACCTGTGATCCTCATTGCAAATATGAACTCCATGCATCCCTTTGCGGCACAAGCTAGTAACTCAAGAATTGATGAAGCTGTTATAGGATTTGATGATGAGGCAGAAACCATAATCAATCGACTTACAAGAGGATCAGAACAACTTGAAATAGTTTCGATTATTGGAATGCCTGGCCAAGGTAAGACAACTTTAGCCAAGAAAGTTTACAACCATCCATCAATCTGTTATCACTTTATTCAATGTGTCTGGTGCTGTGTGTCTCAAGAGTATGAGTATAGAAGTGCATTGCTTGAAATGTTATGTAATGTCACTGAACTTTCTAGACATGATACTTCTGAAATGAGTAATGACGAACTTGCAAATCGGCTTAGAAAATGTTTAATTGGACGAAGTTATCTTATAGTTATGGATGATATCTGGGATATTCGACCTTGGAGTGAATTAAAGCGATCATTTCCTGATAACAACAACGGAAGCAGAATTCTGTTCACTAGCCGAATTCAGAAGTTTTCTTGGCAAGATGAATGCAAGTGCTACTTTCATACTCTCCGGCCATTTCATGAGGAGGAATGCTGGCAGTTATTGAAACAGAAAACATTCCATAAAGATGAATGTCCACAAGATTTAGTTGAAGTTGGCATGGAAATTGCAAGAAAGTGCAAGGGACTACCTTTGTCAATTGTTTTGGTTGCTGGAATCCTTTCAAGGTCAAAGAATAGTCTATATTGGTGGAAACAAATTGCTTTTAATCTGAGTTCAAGCCATCCAACTGAAGGATCCATGGACATACTGGAGTTAAGCTACAAACATCTACCAGATCATCTAAAACCATGCTTTCTTTATTTGGGAGCATTTTCAGGCAGTCAAAAGATCAGAGCCCGAAAGATGACCCTATTGTGGATTTCAGAAGGATTTATAGGAAGAACAGATCAAAGGAGGTTGGAAGATGTGGCAATGGAGTGCTTGATGGATCTGATTAATCATAGCCTTGTAATTGTCAGTGAAAGAAGTTCTGATGGTGGGATCAAAGGCTGTCAGGTTCACAATCTCTTGCGTGAATTTTGCATCATGAAAGCTAAAGAAGAGAAATTTTTACAGTTAATTTATCAGTATGATTTTGATAAAGATCCCTCCGATGGCCGTGATATTGACATGCATCGGCTATGCTTTCACGGTTCATTGTTTTATTTTGCTGATTCACATCGTATTTGCTCACCTGTCCATTCTATAATTTTTGCTTATGGGATGGAGTTTGTTGACTATTGCTTTTTCAGAACCTTTAGGCTTCTTAAAGTGTTGGATATGGAGAGGTTATACTTGAAAGGTTCTGATCTTGACGCCCTGATGTTACTAGTACATTTAAGGTACTTAGCAATTTCTGGTTCAATAAGAAGGCTTCCATCATCAATAGCCAACCTCTGGAACTTGGAAACTCTAATTGTGATACGGCGACTTCCTTGGAGTATTGATCTACCAGACACCATTTGGCAGATGAAAAGTTTAAGGCATGTAAATGCTCGTGCTTTTGCTAATGTCTCTTTGGGTGATTACGAGTTTGAGGAGCTTTGTCAATTAGAGAATGTGCATACTTTTTCAACAGTACTTTGTCATGGAAGAGATACAGAGATACTGCTGAGACGGTTACCAAGACTTCGCAAGCTTAGTTGTATAATTCCAGAGTCCGGTAAGCATCAAGTTGGAAGCTGCAAAGTTCTAGATTTCAGCATCCTAAGTGAATTGGAGGCACTGGATTTAAGCTGTATGGGGGGTACTGAATTTTCTACTCCTAAAATACCGGCATTTGAGTTTCCAAAAGTTCTTAAAAAGTTGACTTTGTTCAAATGTTTCCTACCAACGGCTGCAATATCAGCAATTGGGCAGCTACCTAATCTAGTGGTTCTCAAACTACGGAATATAGACTTTGCAAAGCACATATTGTATGTGGAAGATGGGGAATTCTTAAATCTCAAATTCCTTGCTATGCATCATTCAGAATTTGAAAGGTGGGCTGTGCCTGACGAGCCTTTCCCTAGTCTTGAGAATCTTGTCTTGACAGACTGTACCAAGCTTAAGGAGATCCCCTCTTCTTTTGCTGACATCTCCACCTTGAAAATGATCAAGATACGAGGCTGCTGTCCCAGCGTTGAGAAGTCAGCCCAGACAATTTATGAAGAGCAAAAAGATATGGGAAATGGCGATCTTCGACTCATCTGTTCTTAAAAGAATTCCAGATAATCAGCTGCTGCTTCTTCTTTCTTGTAAGTGAATGTGGGCAGATGACCATTTCTTTGATGTAGACTTATTTGAACATACAGAAATTACCTCTAGAGTTATTCAAGTGGTTATGCATATCCTCCCATCATGGACTCACAACAAATCTGCTTTTAGTATCAACTTAAGAAACCAGAATACCTACCCTGTAAAACCCTTGTCTTAGCCCTAACAAGATGCCAATAAAATGATTTTTTCTTGAATAACTTTGCTAAAATGATTTTTTCTTGAATAACTTTGCTACACCTGTAGATCTAGGTATAAGTCTGTAGATCTAGATACAAGTTTTCTATCCCTGTACAAGAGTATTCTTATTATGCTCAATTTTTTTTTCCCGGAGAAATGTATATGAATTAGCACCATGCAGTTGCCGACCTGCTTTTCAGCTTATTTTCTTTCTGTTCCATCTTTTATCATTCATGATACTTTAACTGGTTTTTGAAGCTCGTGCTGAATTTTCTCAACTTAAACAGCTGAGTTTTCTAATCCATGTTTGATTTGAATTAATGTGGAACCAAATGAATGGATATAATCATAATGTAGAACTAACGCATTTTTTAAGACAGACCAGCTCTCGTAGCAATTTTTTCCCATCCTATTCTTCTGTGCAAATTCTGTTTTGTCTAGTTGTCAGAGTTATTCTGGTATTAGTTCTTGTTTACAACTTAATTAAGTCAATCAAATGTAGGTTATCTTTCATACAATTGTTCAGTGGATGAAACTTTATTAATTGTTAATTACACTTCCCTCCTCAAATATAGTACTCAATG